TGATCGTCACTTAAGATATTGTAGTAACCAAAATATTTTATAAGGAATAATAATAAGTTTCCCGTTCGCGGAGGAAAGTTTTGCTTGAAACCGAGTGGTGTACCAATAGCAAAATATTTTAATAATTTAATCAATATTATTTAACTTGTCTTCTCATTCTACGGTGACCAGGGACAGATATGGCTGTTGGGTGGCTCATCTACCCAAACCTATCACAGGTTCTCGAAAGAAAGGTTAAGTCAAAATTCAGTATACCTTTCTTTCGAGAACCCGCGATAACTACCCGCCCTCTATCAAAATATCTATGAACTACTTAACTTTGAATAATTACTACTTCCGAAATAATTTAATATTCAATTTCAGGTTCAAGAGGTTTCATCGATTTATCTGATAAAATTTTTGAAACAATCCCTGCACTAATCTCACGTCAGGATAGCGGTGGCAATCCCACCCGACTTGGCCACCGTCTCTTGAGTAGTGGAGGTGAAAACCGAATTCTATCAGTCATTTTTTAAAACTATCAAATTTTTGATAACTTATTTCAACATGGGGAAGATGTTCGATTTGACTGATAGAATTCTCGGCTACTAACCCCTCCACTACCCTCATTTCAGCACGACGGTGGCCTTCTCACCCGACCCCGCCACCGCCTCTCAAGTTGTGAAGTTATTTTCAATTGTTTTCAATTGTTTTGAATTGAAAACTGTTTTTCATAGAGTGACAGTTGTTTCAAAAATATCTTGGCCATATGATGACAGCTAATAGCTTTCAAGAATCTTAGATTGAATTCGCGACTGTCTCGTTGACGATTTTTCCGGAATACGTAATCGACTTCACGAATTCTCAACTTTAATTCCTGCGACATTCTCAAAATTGTTCATATAAGACAATCAGTTACTCCTTCAAACAACCAAAAACTGAATAGGTACGAGAAGTCAAATCTTTTGTCATCTTCGGATATTCAGCTTCATCCGACGACCGCTTTCAAAATTTGCTATCCGTTAAGTAGATAAATTTAAATTTCGTATCAAAGTAAATCTCTTCCAAATTTTCGTGCGGATTGAAGACAGTGATCCACTCATCTCGACCTGGCCACCGTCTCTAATAGAAAGAGATCTGAACGTTTTCACTTATCCTGTTTCTGCGGACCATTTCAACTGATGCGATTGATGACGTTTTACTTCAGAATGATTTTCTTCCGATATTCGTTCGCAGAACTTCTTCACCGTCCACGTTTCTCACGAACAGTTGCATAGATTTTCTATGCTTCTTTTTTTACGTTATTTAGATTTTTTAAGATTATTTTAAACGATTGCAATTTTTGGATAAATTCTTATGTCATTTCGACTTTGACTTTCAATTTTTTGGTGAATTTTTCCGAATTTCAGAGTTTTTTAATTTTTGTTTCAATTTTTTGATAAATTTTTTCCAGTGAATTTCTATGAATGAATAGATATTCAATTTTTTTTGCAAAAATTTATTGAATGAATAAATAAATTTTTTTCAAAAAATTTTTTGGAGTTTTGAATTATTTTCGATTTTTTGGTCATTTTTCTTTTTTATCTTTTTTTTGGTCTTCTTTTTTTTGTGGTCTTCTTCTTTCTGTTCAGTCTTTTTTTATCTTTCTCTCTTATAGCGAAAGTAGAGATTGATTGAATTGGAGAGGAACTAATCGATGCCTCAAAAAACTTTCTGCCACCTTCAAGTTCTAAGCACCTTCGCGACAGAACTATGCTCCAACTCAATATTATTATCAAACGCTCACAAAAATATACGAAATGCGGTTTTTTGTGGATTTTATGCTTTTTGTTTTTTGGATTGATCAAAAAATATAAGAAAGCCAATTTTTATGGATTTATTCTTGTTGTTTT